TTTCCACAAGTTTTGCTTCTGTTTCTTCTCCTATTGAATGTCATTCTTAAAGATATTATGCATTGTATTTCTGCATAAATTTGTATTCATTAAGTAACATAGTATTTTTCTTATTTTGCTGGATTGTGAAGATTCTAATAGATAGGTACGTGCGGTCTCCAACGTTTTCTAGAATATTAGATGATATACATTCGGTTGTAACGTGTTCAGAGTTCGATAAAGTTATTGAATATTCTGATTCCAACCAATCATTGTTTTTCATTAAAAATATTTCCTTCTTACGTGAAGCATCCATCTACTGTCTATTAAAAGCAGGAATAATATGTATATGAAAATCATTGAGAATTAAACATAAGTTGTCTTCAGATGATAATTTACTTTCAAAAGTGATGACAATGCCTCAAATATTTTTCCTCCTTCGTTATAGGAATGTAGGTAACGAAAAACTTATGTACTTATTTATATATTGTATTCGTAGCATTTTTTTTTTTTTTTTTTTTTCTTTTTTTTTTTTTTTTCCTACCTAAGCTGATAGCCCTAGCGGCTATTTCAGCGTAACCCTAACTTTAGTAGGTGAGCTCGCGGGGCTCAAACCTGACGATGTTGCTAACACGAACCCTAGCAAGAGTCGTGCTTCGCAGAATCTACCACCGGATCGGAAACGCGACCCACTGAGAAGATCCGGCGAGAAACTCAGTGGGCTGTGTCTGAGAGTTAGTCTACGGACACGAAACTTGCGATGGCCGAGCGATGGCGACAGCGGCGCGACGGCGATGTATACAAAAGCATTGCACAGTATGGGGACGGGCACGAAACGGGCGATGGCGGAGCGGGGCGATCGAGCGATGTACGGGCGATGATGGGGCGACGGCGACGCGGAAGCGACGAGAACAAACTACTTTGGTTTCGTCGCTTGCGCGGGTACACAGTGTTGTGTTCAGTTATTATTTTAGTAATGGAAATTGATAATGAGGAATTTATAATTTAACAAGGAATTTAAAATTTCATTGAATGACACCTTAGCTCGTAATAAAGCGTAGAAAATTCTCCCAAATTGCGTCTTCGTTGATTTATTGGATGAACACCATCTCTAGGTAATAATAATTCTCTCAATAGGAGACTAGGCTCCAATAGTTCTCTTCGACGTAAACTCATGATTCGCACAACACTGCTCAAGCGCGACTGCCCGCCAGCTTGTTTCGTGCCCGCGCGAGATATCGCTGCCTACCCGCTCCGTGTCGCGTCGCCCCGCTGCCGCCATCGCTCAGCCATCGCAAATTTCGTGCCCGTAGACTTAGTTTACTCGTCGAGCCCTTCGTCGCAAGCGACGGGTTCGACGAGAACGGTGACCGGTGCTTGAAGTACCTAAAAGCACCGTTAGTGGATCGGGAGGATCCGAAATGACGTGTTTTGGGCGACGTCGACTGCTTTCCATTCTGTCCGCAGGATCGGGAATGATTCGTAGCAATCAAACGTTGTTACTGAGAACAATGTGTGATTGTTAATTGATTTGTTTGAATAACTGATTGTGTTTGAAATTAAGTGTAGCAATTGTTTATGTATTATTTGAATTAAAAAGAAAAGGGATGGTCTTCTACCGAACGAGTGAATTACTTGGTAGATCGATGGTCGTAATGTTATTCTTTGTAACTTTCATAACATGAAATTCAGGCATCTGTCAAATATGTTGCGTTCCATGATAACTACCCGCTACACGATTGTGTATATTTTGTTGATTAATTTCTTCACACGCAACATGAGTTCAAACAAAATAAAAACCGTAATATCAATAATAATTAATTGTTAATAGCAAATTACAAAACATACCGCAAACATTTGAAACCGCAATGGATAGCGGTTTTCCGTTTTCAGACTTTTATGACATTTTTATCAATTAAATGGAATATTACAAAAATCTGAAGATTATTTTTATTTAATCATTTTCACGAATAGCTACGCTACAAATCAACAATAAATGTAAAGTGGCGGTAAACGTGGGTAGCTGTGAAAAACGGATGATTTAAAAAAAAAATATATCAACTTATTTTACTTTGCAATTATTTTAACGTAAACATTAATTTAATATTACATACACATTAGTTGTTCCAAAATTTTAGAAAATGAGTTTTGTAGAAATGTTTAATAACTGGTATGTAATTATACAAAGTTTAACGTTAAATGGATCCAACACATTGGATATGATAAAGCGAACAGATTTGACATAAACGTTTGTCAAAACTTGTGGTATCGTTTTACATGCCGTTGTTCTAGCGTTTTCCATAGTGGTATGGTCCACCTGATGATTAGTCGTCACCGTCGCTGATAAATTTAACTTATGTCTGAAATAGCTGAGTCCCGCGATGTTGCCCGCGGTTATTCTTGTACCGCGGGCGACGCCGCGAAGCGAAGCTAGTGTAAAAAATAGCCTAAGTTACTCCTTATATCATCAGCTACCTATCAGTGAAAGTCCCGTCAAAATCGATCGAGCCGTTCCAGAGATTAGCCGGAACAAACAGACAGACAGACCGACAAAAATATGTTATTTTGGTATATGTACTTTGTGTACATAGGTACTTACGCGTTTAGTAAAAAGTGCTTATTTTATTATTACAAACGGACACTCCAATTTTATTTATTTGTATAGATTAGAAAAGTTTAACAACAAAAGTATAATAAGTCAAGAAGAAGTCAACAAGAAGTCTGTAACAATCGGCAAGTGTGCGGGCGGGCAAGAGCGCCGTACTGATCACGCGGTCGCCCGATAGTTGGCCGACAGTTTAGCTTGAAGGCAACGGGAATCCCATCAAACTGATTCATCGGCCGATTACTAATCGTTACAATTTGCGCACTTGCATACATCTCCATACTGATTAAGGCGCCGACCAAATTATCGGCCAATAGAAAGTCTACTTAGTCTGGCCATAAATACTGTTACAATTAAAAATAAACAAAATATTACATTTGAATTTGGAATCTGTCATTTTTATATGATTGCTCATTGAGTTCTCATTTTGGCGCCAATACATTATACAAGATTTTGCGATATTAAAATGGAGTGGGGTGATAAAGAGAACCGAATCGCTGTGATTGCATTACACAAAGTAGGTATGGAACCAAATGCAATTTTTAAAACTCTCCATACGCTTGATATTAGTAAAATGTTTGTGTACCGGGTTATTAATAGGTGCAATGAGACCTCCTCTGTTTGTGACAGAAAAAGATCTGGCCGTCCACGTAGTGTTCGTGCGAAAAAAGTGGTCAAAGCAGTAAGGGAAAGAATTCGAAGAAATCCTTTCCGAAAGCAAAAGATTTTATCGCGGGAGATGAAGATAGCACCTAGAACAATGTCGCGTATTTTAAAAGATGACTTAGGACTTCAGCCTGTAAGAGACGTACTGGTCATTTCATAACTGATAATTTAAAAGAGAATAGGGTGGTAAAATCGAAACAACTACTGAAGCGGTACGCAAAGGGAAGTCATAGAAAATTTTTGTTTACGGATGAGAATTTTTTTACAATTGAGCAACATTGTAACAAACAAAATGACCGTATTTATGCTCAAAGCTCTAAGGAAGCTTCCCAATTAGTCGACAGAGTGCAACGTGGGCACTATCCGACTTCAGTAATGGTTTGGTGGGGTATTTATTAGCTATGAATGAGTGACTGAGCCATACTTTTGTGAAAAAGGTATCAAAACATCGGCACAAGTGTATCAAGATACCATTCTTGAGAAGGTAGTGAAGCCTCTTAACAACACCATGTTCAATAAATAAGAATGGTCCTTCCAGCAAGACTCGGCGCCAGGTCATAAAGCTCGGTCTACGCAGTCTTGGTTGGAAACGAACGTTTCGGACTTCATCAGAGCTAAAGACTGGCCATCGTCTAGTCCCGATCTTCATATGCTGGATTATGATTTATGGTCAGTTTTGATAATTTGGACTCCCTAAAACAATCCGTACGATTGGCAGTGAAAATTTTCCCATGGAAAGAGTGCGTGCTTCTATTGATAACTGGCCTCAACGTTTAAAGGACTGTATTGCAGCCAATGGAGACCACTTCGAATAAGCTTTTTATACTTTAAATTGTTTTATATTTTTGTATTAAACTAACACACTGTAAAAGTAATAAATGTTATTTGCAATATAATTATTTTTTCCTTTGTCTCAGAATTTATGGCAAGACTTATGACAAGATTTATGGTAGTCTGCGGGGGCTATAAAATAAACCTTATAACAAAAACGTCCTTAATAGAAACGGAGCGGCCGATAGATCTTAAGAATAACGAGACACATTTTTAGGATTAGGTATCGAGTTATAAGAGGAGGGGTAGTTATTAATGAAAATTTTATTTCGAAAAAAGATTGGGAAGCATTGATATAGAAAGCCATGATAGCGCTATAACAAAATAACTCTCACTACGGAGTGAGACGACACGAAAGGCGGAGGACCATTAGAAAAACACAAAGATGAAAAAGTTTTCTCATGCGTACATGCTTGTACTAGCGCCAAAATATCGGGAATTCATTACATGTAAAAATTCTGATAAAAATACGTTAATTATACTATTTATAAAATAAATAAAAACTGTTATCTATAATAATTTTATTCCTTTCTGAGATAGAGAGAGAGAGAGAATATACTTTATTGCACACTAAAATATAATTCACTTTAAAAAACAGTCAAGAAGCAGATATATTTGTACAATAGGTGGCCATAACGCTAAAAGGATGTCTTCCATACAACCATTTTATTTACAGAGCTTCTGAAAAAGATAAATAGACAGCACATATGTTGCTGTGTACTATTGACAATACATTATTAAAGAAAATACATACATATATTACATACCTACAATAAGTAGATATATAGCTTATTCTTAAATAAATCTATTGCAATCGCAATAGCTTATTCTTAAATAAATCTATTACAATCGCAAGACTGAAAAACCAGAAAAGCTATGGTAGTTAATTTTTATTGAAACCAAAAAAATAGTTACTCACAAAAAGCCGCCAATCCAGCGCCAAAGGCTAGTTGCTGGTGAGGCAGCAGCATGGGCCGGGGACAAATTGGTAACGGCGGTGGCTGCCATAAAGTCATATTTCGATTCGTCATCAATTCAACACCTTCTGTTTCTCCCACGCCCACTTCAATATCCGAAGAAGATTCACTTTCAACAGGACCCTCGACTTGGGTAGTTAGCTTCGGCTCCTCAAGGTGACCGTAGAGTCTGGCAAAAAACTTTCGAGGTGACGAGGGACGCGGCGCGTGAATTTTACTAGTATCAGTTTGTAACTTATCCGGATCTGACTCGTCACTCATTTTACCGGTCACTGAAGAGGCTTATGACAGACGGGAGACGTCTTGCCCAGTCGCGGACGACGCGTGTTTTGGTTTTCATCGTGGCTATAACTCATTCCCGTAGGACGTTAGTCCCGCCCCTATTTATGGCTACTGCTTTATCCCGAACAACTTCACAAAGGGAATAGAGCTTTTCAACCAATAAGCGCTGGAGAGGCGTGTTAGTGAGGCGGAGTCGTGAGATTTTTTTATTGTACATTTATTTAAAACTCAGTACAACTAACTGATATTCAACTATCTTGCATGTATTAGAAAGGGAGCTAATTTTTTCCCAATCTTATTTAGTTGCAAGTTTATTGAAAATACAGATCAATTGTGTTAGATTTTATGAGTTTTTTTTATTAGTTCCAAATTTAACGACGAACTCATGACTCACTTGGTGGTAAGCGGTTACCGCAGTCCACATCGCATCAACGTGGGATATAAGGTCGAACTAACCGACCAGCAATACAGCACAGAACAGCTCAACAGCAACATGTTTCATACCCAAGTGATTATATAAAATCAACTCGTGAGACATGGCAAGTTCGACAGCTATCTCTCACAAGCTTGAATGAAGATTTTCAGTTATCATTTTGCGATGTTGACTTCAGTTGCAGACGTTGATGAACTAACAGAGCGAAGTCCTTCTTGACATGTCCTTCTTCAAACGAGGCTTGTGGAGAGTATTAAGCGGTAGGCAGCGGCTTGGCTCGGCCCCTGGCATTGCTGAAGTCCATGGGCGACGGTAACCACTCACCATCAGGTGGGCCGTATGCTCGTCTGCCTACAAGGGCAATAAAATAAAAACAAGAAGCACTGTTACATTCTGTACTGTTAAATTCCATTGAGGATGGAAAATTTAAGACAAATGTTCGATATTTTTGTTCATTATGAAATTCGCAATACACACTAGATATTATTATGATATAACTAAAAACATTATATAAAATTTAACAAAATAATATAAGCGTGTAGCAATCACGAGGAAGCGTGATTCTAACTTCTGAATTTCAGTAAAAAGTATATTCAGTAAAAAGTAAATTTGCGATGGAAAATGCTAATGTCATTCAAATAATAAAATAAAAGTAAATACATCTAAAATGTACAATGTCAGTGTTCTAAGACTAATTTATATGTTTTTGTGTCTTTCTTTCAATTCCACATTTCCAATGCACCGAGATAGTAAGCGGATGATGCCCTTTGAAACTCATTATGTTACCCGTAAGTCGATTTTATTTTTTAGGTGGGTGGACGAGTTCACGGCTCAAAAGGTGTTAAGTAGTTACTAGAGCCCATAGACACCTACGACGTAAATGCCGCCATCTACCTTGAGACATAAGCTCTAAGGTCTCAGTTTTTACAGTACAACGGCTTCCCCACTCTTCAAACCGAAACGCATTTGGTACTGCTTCACGGTAGAAATAAGCTGGGTGGTGGTACCTACCCGTGCGGACTCACAAGACATACTACCACCAGGAAACGATTAGGAAGACTAACTAATTTTTGTTTACAATGTATCTATCACATATTTTCAACCTCTATGTATCAAGGTGCGTGGCAGCATTTACGTTGTGATGTCTATAGAGTTTGATAAGCACTTAACTCGAGGTAGGCTTGTTCAATCATTTATTGGAATAAATAAACACATAAAAACAGTAGATCTAATATGTACCTGTCTTCGTTTTTTTTTTGTTATGTTCGCTGGTAGCTGAAGGGGCTACTCCAGCTAGGTTTTAATAATAATAACAACCCTTGGATTACTGTTTTTTTTTCAGATTTTAAATTATGCAACAAAGAAAATCAGGGCACTCCGTTTTATCGAACAAAAAAAATGGCAAGTAATATTGAAAACGCATTGAAGAAAATAAAAGATTCAACTCAAGATGTTGGCAAAAATTTTCAGTTGTTTATGAATGGTAAAAATAAAGAAACATCCAAAAATAATCTTAATGACCTGACCCATTATGAACAATTGGTCTTTATGAAAAAATATCCTTATCTGGATTTAAAAGAGTTCGAAATGAAGTACAGGCCGGCATCAAACAAGATTGCACGAGAAAGTTTTGAATTTGAATCTGGATCGCATCTTCGTGGTGATTCCAGTTTATGTGAACCGTTAGAAGAGGGGCCAAACGTAGAAATATTCAATAGGGGATTATCAGGTTTCACTATTCCTCCGAGGGATAATAAAGGAGCTGAAGTTTTTAACAATGAAAAATTGTATAAGCAAGATGCCATACTCAAACCTCAGATTTAGAAAATATTTGAATTCAAAAAAAATTTCAATAAACTAACATTGCAATACCTTTACAATTTTACTTTTATCAATAGATATAACTTCTAGTTCTACCAGCCCACAGACGTCCACTGCTGGACATAGGCCTCCCCAAGCCTCGCCACAAAGTTCGGTATTGCGCTGCTTGCATCCAGCGGATCCCCGCTAACCTCAATAGGTCCGTCTTGAGACCTACCCACGCTACGTCTTCCGGTACGCGGAAGAACTTTAAACTATGTATTTTATATATAACTTTAAACTAAACCAAATTGTGGAGGAAAGTAAAAAAATACTACACATGGTACACACATTTATAACTGGTGGTAGGACCTCTTGGAAATCCGCACGGGTAGGTACTACCACCCCGCCTACTTCCGCCGTGAAGCAGTAATGCGTTTCGGTTCGCAGGGTGGGGCAGCCGTTGTAACTATACTGAGACCTTAGAACTTATATCTCAAGATGGGTGGCGCATTTACGTTGTAGATGTCTATGGGCTCCAGTAACCACTTAACACCAGGTGGACTGTGAGCACGTCCACCTATCTAAGCAATAAATAAATTTAAAAAAATGCTACTCGCGAAAACCGAAGAAGATACTAGTTTGTAATGAATTATTAACAAATTAAAAAATTTTGTTCGTTCACTTTTTGGAACTGTATTAGGGGCAAGGTTGGACAAAAATGACGAGACCTAATTTGCATCAATGAAGACTAAATGCCACACATCTTTGTTACCCAAAATCACTTTAGACTATTCCACACCACTGGTTACGGAATATCGGGAGACAGAGATGGACAAAATAGACGGTAATCTTCTTCTTTTTCTGAAATTTTTGAAACGTCAACAGTGTGAATGTCAACAACTTGAAAGTGTCCTGTCCACAATAACCAAATCATCCACAACTTCTGCCAAACGAACACACACAAATAAAAACAGGCCTCAGATTTTATATGTAACATTAATTAAAAATCCGAGATATCCAATTATGAGTGAGTCAATTAATTGAGTTTAGTTATTTAGCTTAGAAAGAATTTCTTTTATTTTTGTTATTATTGGCAGTAATCAGATAAAGCTGTTTTTTTATCTTATTCACCTGATATCTTACTCTTGCTCAAAGATTATTTTGAAAATGTTGATTAAATAAAATTGTNGCAGTAATCAGATAAAGCTGTTTTTTTATCTTATTCACCTGATATCTTACTCTTGCTCAAAGATTATTTTGAAAATGTTGATTAAATAAAATTGTATTATTGCATTTCCAGTCCTTTTGTTTTCTATTTTTTATTCTATTTTATGATTTCGTTTCAGAGTTGTGATTTTTAAGGAAATTAAATAATAATTTTCTAAAATATAACATGCTCATACTTTTTTTGATCATTGTATTGTTGATTATTATTTACGTCACATCGCTTCGGAATAGAAACCAGCTTAATTTACACTATGTTGTGTATTGTGCTTAAATTATGGATTGTATTCATCATTTCGGTCCATATAAATAATTATATGGCACCTACCTATATATCGCAGTACTGCGAGTTGACAGCCTTTACAAATATCCCAATTTAACCCTTAACCGTGTCAATTTACCCCGGACGCTGGGTAAATTGGGACGGCCATTATTTTACCGATTATTTCTTTAAAATGAATAATTAAAATAATGTTACGGTTTTTATCACCTAGGTACGTTCAAGACTCAACTTATTTCTTTGGTTGAGCAGTGACTATTTAATTGGAACTATTTTAAAATTCAATCTGAAGGTCGATTTTGTCCCTATTTACCCCATTGTACGGTATATAGTGTGTATATAACCTATGCTGAAGGTCATAAAATAATTATCTGTGAAAACAATTTAACCAAAAAAAAAACTGCGGTTGTTTTCGTTAGATAAATAAAAAAAAATGATTGCTTAAATAAAGTTTATAAAAATAAAATGTGGTCTCTCTTTTAGTTTGTGTCAATATTTAATGCGCACCTTGCATTGGTGCCTTGTGGTACATAATCAAACACGTTTTGAATAAATTTAACCACTCCAAACTGCCTCTTATCGCTAATATCGATTGGTAAGTATTAAAAATAATTTAATTTTCTTTCTTGATTCGCACTGGCACTAGTAAATCGAGTTTGCTCCCTGGCATAGAAAATTTGTTTTTGCATTATCTCTACGATTCAGAACTGTACCCATTATAACACAACATAAATAGCAGCGAAAAACAATACAGTACAATCGTAATGTTGGTACTATGTAACTACTAATACCGTAAAATGGGGCGATTAGGGACAAATTCCAACTTTATGAGCAATTTTAAGGTAGTTGTTGATGTATATAATGCTATATCAGGATCAAAATGATTGAGTCTTGGGGGCATCTTTGTTGTCTAATTTAAAATTATGCAACTAGCATTCCAGTTTAAGCAAAAAATGCAAAAATAGGTGTAATCCCTATTTACCCGAAAATTGCGGTTAATTGGGACGAAATGAGAAATTTGCTAGGGTTGGCACTACTTTTATTTTTATATATAGTTTTAATTTATTTATTTATTTAGTTGCACCAACAAAGTGATCATCAATAAAAAAAATTGAAAAACTGACAAAAGTACATGGCAGACATCACCTCAATTATAGGTGCAATCGACAGTGCTGATATTTCTATCTGGGTTAAGAGATTAGGTGTGTCGGTTATTCCATGGATTAATCAGATGAATACCCCCACTCTGAACAAATATTAAATATTTTATTATGTATTACTTAGACATTTTTGTCCACCTTGAGATTTCATTGATCTTGTTACATGTCTCTGCAAAATCGACTTACTTATATTAAATTGCTTATCTATTTCAACTAAAGACTTATTCCCAATTTCGCTTCGAATAAACCAGATTTTTACCAACAAATTTAAAAAATATTGTTATAACTACATAGACAACCCTACAAACCTGTACCTATTTATACTTAGGTCGTTTCCATTTCACGTATTCTCATCCCAATTGACCCCTTTTTCGTTGTTATTTGTACCTAAGACGTCCCCAATATCCCCAAAAACAACAGATTTTTACATGTATTTTTATTTAATCAAATACATTAAAACCAATAACAACTGAGACTTACCTTTAATATATATGCTGGTTCAAACACTAAATAACGTTTATAAATCATAGTCGTCTTCTATTATTATCAAATAAATAAAAGAGAGCAAAGTTTCTAGCACTAAAATAATGACCACCACAGGAAGTTAATTTGAAACGCGATTTTTTATAAGTTAGCAGCTATTATCATGCATATTCAGAGTTGTTTTGTGAACTTTCAACATTCTACTATTAAACTACAAAAAATGGAAGATTTTGCAACGAATATAAAACTTATATTGAGCGTCGAAAGATTTTCCTGATTTTTTCCCGATTCGCCTGTCAATCCCTAATCGCCCCATTTTACCGGTACTGTAATTATAGTCGGATTTTTAATTAGACGAAGCCAGCTGACAGTAGCTAATGTCACTTTGTGAAATAATGTTGCTATATTTAAAGTAATAGTGATGCGTTCAGTTCTCGTTCAATCACATGAATGAACAATGAGTGTGAAGAGATAATAATTAATTTCAAACTATAAAAGAATATCATTTATATTTTACAATAAAATTGTATTAAAGTGCTCCAATATATGTTACTAGTAGTATGTAACTACAATCAGTTTTTTTTATTTTCATTACCTACCTTTAATTGTTATATTTTATACAACTATAGTTTCAACTATACGATGTATTGGAAATAGGACAGTCTTACAAGCTTCCTCGCTATGTTTTTCTTAATGTTTAAAACACTCTGTATTCAGTACAGGTAGATACTATAGGAACATAATATTTCGTCGAAAACTCGTTGGTATGTACAAAGCACGCCTAAAATTCGAACCCCGTACCCGATATCGGCAATTCGGCACACCAACTATTCATTAGACAATCGAGGCAATTTCATTAATTCAGGAGTTTTTTCAATCGCTCACTTTGTCACAACACTATTTTTATTTCATCAAAAACTGACAACACAGTAAATGTCAGTAGACTTCGTCTAATAAAAAATCCGACTATAAACTGAATTTCATTTCAGACAAATATGGAATTGCAGTGCAAAGCTTTGCATTATGATTGGGGCAAAGTTGGCTCTGAGAGTATAGTTGCTAGGCTGTTACATAGTGCTGATTCTAGAATTGACATAGATCAAACAAAACCTTATGCTGAGTTATGGATGGGAACTCATCCTAATGGTCCTTCTCTAATTATTGAGAGAAATATTTTATTGTCTGACTACCTCAAAGAAAATCTTGATGCCATTGGGCCAGCTGTAAGGAAGAAATTTGGTGTAGCCATACCTTTTCTTTTGAAGATATTGTCTATCAAAAAGGCCCTGTCTATACAAGCCCATCCCAACAAGGTAATATAACAACATTTTAAATAACACCAAAGCGTTTTTTTTAGAAGAATGTTTGTTTAGTAATTATCAATAATAGCTTTAGTATATGACATTTAAAAGATATTAATTGAGTTTAATTCTTTTCATATAAACCAATCAATCCAATTAAAGCTTATTACAGGTGGTGCGTTGTGAACAACCATAAATTATTGATACTCTGCTGTCTATTGCTTAAGAATACTCATTACTTGTTCTGATTTTAGGAACATGCTGAACAGCTACACAAAAACTTCCCTGATATGTACAAAGATCCAAATCACAAGCCTGAGATTGCCATTGCCTTGACATCGTTTGAGGCTCTTTGTGGATTTAGGCCTTTGTCTGAAATCAGGGAGTTCTTAAAAAGTTAGTTAATCGATTGTTTTTTTTAATTATTTTTATACATTGAAAACATTACACTCCCTATTATTTAATGGGGTCTTACCATAATTTTCACATTTAATGAGTACACAATATTTTATGCTATTTTTTTCGCCATGAGCATGGGTAGACTGAAGACTAAGGTAGGAACTTAGGAGCAGAAAAATCTGCCTACACTATTTCTAATCCAGTTTTTGGTATTGCTCTCTGTGACTCAACCTGACAATATAAACTCGCGGTACTGACAGTTTTTTTTTGAATACATTAAGAAAGCATTGTTTTTTAGTAAATCTAATATTGATTTCCATCCGCTATTATCTTCAGTCCTGCTTATCTGTCATTTCCAGTCTACCAACAATTGTGGTGCTTGTGACAGCATTGTCATATTGGTTTCATATCTATTTTCAGAACTTCCTGAACTTACCAACATTCTATCCAAAGAAGCTGTTGACAGAGTGCTCACTAATCAGGATCAAGGAGACAATAACAAAATTCTAAGGCCATTGTTTGAGTCACTGATGACTTGTGAAAAAGCTTCTGTTTCCAACAGCTTGCAAAACTTGATCAACAGGCTTGAGAAAGATGGTATGGACTAAAATTTTTATATTATATACACTAGTGATAATAAACTATCAAATGTTACATTAATATACAAATTAAGGATATACAGTTGCACCAAATAATCGGATTATTAATATCTGTTACATTATTTTTCATCCATAAACTCTGATTTTAGATGCATCAAATCAAACATTTTTACTCTATTCTCTTCTGCGTCGCTTACATAGTGATTTCCCTGGAGATGTTGGCTGTTGGGGTCCATACTTCTTGAATTATATTGTGCTGCACCCAGGCCAAGCTATTTTCTTGAAGCCGAACCTGCCACACGCCTACTTGAGTGGAGGTAAATGGTTTTGAATTAGATCATAAATTGTCAAAATAAATGAATGATCATTAGGAATTAAAAATAAAGGGATCAAAAACCAAAATCATTAAGGTCTATTTTCAACAGTCTGAAAACGCACATACAAGAACAAGTTCACAGAGACTACAAAGTATATTTTAATTACCATAACGTTATCTTTACCTAGTAATTAAACCTAAACCTTATACAGTACTATCTACTACTGAACTAACTGTTACTGTAATGTACAGCACTAATTAACAGGTCTGAACACTAGATGCGACTAGAACAAACGAAATATTCAAAATCATACACAGTTATAAATACGAAACTAATTTACCCAAACAGGAAAGTCAGTTTTAAGTGTTTTTAATTTCCCCTTTACTATTTTATCTGATTTGTTTATATTGTTTTGAAAAGTATACTTGGTACCTAATGAGAGTGCTCGTCGTGCCACGTGAAGGTTAGCAATGCATTCACAAATAATTAGTAGAATTAATTTTTAAATATCATTATACCGGTGTATAAAATTCAAATATGTATATATATACATTTAAATGTATATATATAAATATATTTAAGTATAAAAACATTATATTAAATATATTAATAATCAAACTGTCTGATTCTCTTAGTTAGAGGGGCTCTTAGTTTGGGGGCAAATGTCAGTTTATCTTCTCCTTGATTTAGTTATATTTACATTTAATGTTAAACAAATTATATTAGCTAATACTAAATATTCGTAACAAAACTTTATTAAAATCTCTACTAGACTAGATTAAATTGATTTATGTGTTCAATAATAAGAAATCAATGAACTTGTAATATGTTATAAATATATACTAACATGTCAAACTTTACCTTACAGATTGTGTAGAATGCATGGCATGTTCTGATAATGTGATCCGTGCTGGGTTGACCCCGAAACATATTGATGTGCCCACACTAGTCGATATGCTGGACTATAATAGCTATGGAAAAGATCAACTCCTATTCCACCCCCAATTAGAAGATGCAAATAGTTGTATTTGGCGTCCTCCAGTGCCTGATTTTGCTGTTGTGAAGATAAATGTATGTATATTGCTATGTGTATTACATATTCAAAACAGTTTCGAAATGCACACAATATTTTCAATATATCTAAGCAACAATTATTATTATCAGTGGCTGGAAAGCCGTGGCTTAGTTACTTAAGTAAATCTATCTACATAGATCCCTCAGGTTTAGATTAATAATAATGTGCAAACCTAATTACCTTGTAGGAAACTACTAACTTTTTCATTGCTTAGACGGACTCACGACTGTGTTACTGGAGCCCACAGATATTCAAAATGTAAATTCTGCCCCCCATATTGAGATATGAGTTGTAGGTATGAAATCTAACAGTTATTTTACATATTTTACAAAAAATTATTTATTCGCATACTAGTGTTTGTGCTTATCGATATACAGCCGTTTCTGTTGTGTAAAGGTTTCTATAGTGTCCTGTATTTTTTTTATCGCTTAGATGTGTGGACGATCTCACGGCCCACCTAGTGTTAAGTGGTTACCGGAGCATGGGCTCCGGTAACTCTATGGAGACATCTACAACGTAATTGCTGCCATCCACCTTGAGACATGAGTACAACGGCTCATCAGACCGAAAGGCATTACTGCTTCACGGCAGAAATAGACAGGGTGGTGGTACCTACCCGTGCGGACTCCTACCACCAGTAAACAATGTATAAATGGGATTTTGCATTGTTTGTTCAGGTGGTGGGTCCGGAGCCGTACAACACCCAGATCCGGCCCAGTCCGAGTCTCCTCATAGTGACGTCAGGAGCGGGCTCGGCGTGCGACACGGAGCCGGTGCCCGTCCGTGCCGGGGTCGTGTTGTTCCTGAAGGCGAGCCGTCAGCTCACACTCACGCCCACGGCCGACGGGCACATCGAGGCCTACCAGGCCATATGCAACGTATGACGGTACCGATACGCGTTGATCACCGACGTCCAACTGCCAGAGTAGGTAATAATACCTACTCTAAACGGTTAACCAACATAATTGTAAACAACTCTCGATGATATCTCAACATTAATTAAAGCTTAAAAATTTTTAATTCAATATTTAAAATAAATAATTGTTTAAAAAAGCTAAAACATAATACGCTTTTTAGAAAATCCAACTAAAAAATAGACTTTTTTTTTTAATAAATCTGAATTAAAAATAGTGTAAGAAAAAATGACTTCAGGATATTATCAAAATAACCCTTCTACTTATATCTGTTCATAAAATATTTATAACTACTGATACCATGCACCCCACGCTTTTTTTACAATAAAATCATTTTTTCTTACACTATTTTTAATTCAAATTTATTAAATTTTATTTTCTATTTTTTAGTTGGATTTTCTATAAAAGCGTATTTTGTTAGATTTTATAAACTATTATTTATTTTTAGTTGAATTTCAATTTTGTCATTTATTTTTTAATTTTTTTTTTAATATTAAATTGTCATCGGTCCTAATAATTATACCAAATTTCGAGTTAATCCGACGTTTTGAAGGGGCTCAAAATCTTGTTCAAAGATTCCGTTACATACTAACATACATATGTCTGAAGCTAATAAAAGCGTATTAAAAACGGTAACTAGGGTAGTCAAATATTATCGTGAGCTGTATACAGCATAATAAGCTTGGTTGACCTAAATTAAACTTGAAGATTCAAATTGTGATTTTTATATACATAATTGCTGTGGAGATATCACGTCCGAATATATTTAAAGCAGTGACTCATAGTCTACAAAGAAAACTTTTTTTTTTTTTTTTTTTTTTTTTTTTTTNGTATACGTCGGCGTATTCCTGCACAACGGCGATAAAGTGTTGTGCAGTGGAGGCAGCGCGAATGGCGTCGCCCAAAGCGTTAACGCGCTCAAAGTTGATCGACTGAAAGAAGTCGATCGCTAAAGCGAGATTGTCGGACGCGGTCGGAGGGCAAGTCGCGGGAGAGGGACGAGTCGCGGGGGCGGGACGAATCGCGGAGGAGGGAGTTATAGCCGTGTTCGTGTACGGCAGCGGTTTTGCCCAGGCCGAGACACTGGGCACCGCCGCCGGAACGAACGCTGGCTTAGCCTGCGACGCAGAGGGTGCCGAGGCTTTGATGTCTGGGCCGGAAGCTCGGAGGCGGTTTTGGCGGGCGACGCGGCACAAAGAAAACTTCTGAATCATGTATCTTTGTAGAATTACACAAAACGAATACCTTAAAATTAAACATTTGCTTACAAAGTCAATTCGATGAATGATTGTAAGTATACAAGTAGGCATGTACGTACAACCAGCATACAGGGTATAATCTGTAGAAAATAAAAAAGCCCGCCTAAATTTAAATTTTAATAAAAATCTTGTCTTTGTCTTTAAATGCAAATAAATTCGTAATTTGGTGGGGTTGTTTGATTAAACATTGAATTGTACGAGATAATTCGATCCCCGACTAAATTGTATATTATAACTTCTAATAGTTCGTTTTTAGCCGACCTAAATATACCTTTACATTTCATAAATTAAATGGTTCTCAGTATATTTATTATAAATAAAATTTGTATCTTCAAGTTAGGCGGTATTTGGATGTCCGAGATCAAATCTGTGTTAAGGATACACTGTGTTTCTATTAAAATACCAAAAAAAAAAAAAACTTCATATCACTAATTATATTATAGCGTTTCGTTATCAATGTTTCTGTAATAACTAGATGAAAATGATGTAGTACGTTCGTTTACTACATCTATTGATAGAAATCTAAAGTATAGATTGGTATTATAATAAATTAAAAAATATATCATGATATATAGATATAAAATATAGGAAAGTGGATATTCTTGTCTTAGACAGTATTAGCCTATTACATATTACTTGCCAGTTAATTAATACCTATTCCGCATTTTATGTAGAGAATTTTAAAATTTGTTATACAATTTAGGATAATAAATTCTGTAAAATGACATTTAAAGAAGACATTTGAAAGGTCCACTGCAAGAACGATCAATATTTACTTTTTTCATAATTTTATTTTAATTATACAACGGTAAAAAAAAAATTCATTTCATTAGTACACGTTTTGTAATATTATATATTACTTCTTTGACACATAATCGTACTTAGGGCATTATATAGTAATAAAAATGAATTAAATCTCAGATAAGTCTATACGTCAGGCTATAATGATAACTGTCCATTCATCACTTCCAGCTGATTGATATCAATAATGATCATTGTCTAAATGACTTGTTTATATTAGCTTCTGATTATTATATTTGCAATATGATGAAGTGCATCGTGATAACGTTTCGCTTCAGGTTTATAGAACTATTTCATAAACTGCAGGTCCCTGCATTTCACTTTTAATATAGGTAGAGCTTGTCTTGATACGCTAAATCACTTAGTTTCGAGATGAAACGGATATCCGGTAACTATCCGGTATCCGGCCCATCCGGCCATATCGTCACTATCGATGGCGTCGATGGCGGCATGGACATTTATCATTATTGTCGTCAACACGAGTGATGCTCATCGTAACTGATCGATATTACTAAATTTGTTAATATGATTACCAACTTGTGTCATGCTTCCGAATGGAATTCTCAGTTAAAAATGTAATAATTTTGGTCATTCATCGTTATTACAGTGGATCTTTCATTTAAATACTAAGCTATTTAGCAATGCGTATTATTTATCGATTATGTAAGACGTGTTCAAACTAGAGAAAAGTGCGAGAAAATTTTTAGCACACTGTATTTCATACGATGTGATGTGTACAAAGATTATTTTGTATGAATGAATAGTTGTAATATGAAAGTTTCCTTAGGGTAGTGTTCTAAAACCTATCATATCACGCACATTGTTATTTAACTGGTTCTTACTTAGCCCATTGAGTTTCTCGCCGGACCTTCTCAGTGGGTCGTGATTCCGATCCGGTGGTAGACTGAAGCACTGCTCTTGCTAGGGCTAGTGTTATCAAATTCTCTCAGGTTGAGCCCGTGAGCTCACCTACCCGTCCGGGCGTAGCTGGAATAGCCTCTCAGGCTTCCATCGAATAGGTTGGGAAAAAAAGGGTTTTTACCACGATTTTCACATCAAATCTTTGTTTTTCTATCTAATCGCTAGGAGCCTAAGGGGCTATACCAACTTCGCGCGGACCTGTAGGTGAATTCACGGGTTCAACCGCAGTGAATTTACTAACACTAGCCCTAGCAACATCTGTGCTTCGTTGAATCTACCACCAGCTTAGAATCGGCACCCATTGAAAAGATCCGGTGAGAAACTCAGTAGGCTATGTCTATGGGGCATTTAATCGGCTCCAGATCTAACATATATATAAGTATATAATATATATTGGATATAACATGTTTATGTCCTAAAGTATATATATATTGCTATTGTAATATATATCTAGATCTAGAAAGTTACCTACATGTTTAAAAATTGACGTATTTCGTGATGTAACCTTTCCGTCAGAAAAAAGCCCTAAATGTATATTTATTACTTTACAATCTCTAATTTTATTAGTTTTTTTTTTTGGAATGATCTTGACATATTCCGGTATAAAACTACAAATTTATTATTTTATTATTATATACTATTAGTTTTTATTTAATATTCCATTTATTCGATAAGTACCTATTCTTGTACCAAAGTTAAAATTAGAGATCCTCGCTGTTGATTATCATTATAATAAACCAGAATTCATTTAACATTTAAAAAAATTGTAATTGTTATTAGTATACGCTCGTAACAGTAGACACCTTCTCTCATATTTTGCAAATTTTCCGCCGAAAAAGAATGTAGCGAATACGTAATAAAGTATGATATTAGTGAAAATTACAAAGAATATTTTCAATCGACGATAGCTGTGCGGTTGAATTTTAAATGTACTTAATTATTATAATGAGATGTACCTCATCATGCAGTCTGTTACATTAAATATAAAATTATATCTCCTAGAGTCTAGAGCAATTTAAAACTACCGGGCTATCTGACTTCTAAAACGAATTTATATTCATTTACTAACAATAGTTTTTTTAAATGAATCTTCAAGCATTTTCACTGTTCATTTCGTTATGAATATAAACCCCCTGTTGTTTATTTTTATATTATATATTGTGTTATTTTTAATAAAAATAAATTTATTTTCTTAATTATTTAATTTATGTTCCTTAAATCGAGTGCTTATTTTTATTGCGTTGTTAATTTATATTAAAAAAAATAGTAAAAAATTAATTAATACTTTTATTTACGCTTTTCGAAGACTATTCTAATTTAGAGTGCACATAATACAAATTCGTACTTTCATTTGTTCATCACTTATGCACGACAAAATATAGCGTTGAGTACTTTACTCAGTTGTCATATCAGATACGTGTCAAAGATATCTGTAACGAACTGTGGATCAGCGCATTGTTCCTAAATACTATTCTGATTGTTCGGGTGACGAGTGGTGCGATTGTAAAGTGGAAATAATGGAATCGTCGATAAAATTTCCGCCGATCTTCCCGTGGGACATGTCGTAGAAACCACAAAGAAATCGCAACGTTTCTGGTTTTTATATGGAGTCAAGCGGAAGTAGCTGTGTGTTTAGTGCGAGTTTTTTAACGTTCTTGATAGCTTTTTTTTTCCTACCTAAGCTGAGAGCCTTGAGAGGCTATATCAGCGTCGCCTTAACTAGTAGGTGAGCTCGCGGGGCTCAAACCCGACGACGTTGCTAACACGAACCCTAGCAAGAGACGTGCTTCGCCGAATCTACCACCGGATCGGAAACGCGACCCACTGAGAAGATCCGGCGAGAAACTCAGTGGGCTTCTCGATAGCGTAACGTTAACCCAATTTTATATGCAGTTGGAACAGCGCCCCTAACGGCAAAGGAAGGCAAACGATCCCATTCCGTACAAATATGAGCTAACTTTTACGCTATCGAGAACGTTAAAAAACTCGCACTAAGCACACTGGTATTTGGGTGCACCGGTTCAAAGGTGGGGGCAGTACTCCACGCTAGCTCGAACCTGTGGCTTATAAAGCATATGTTACCGCTTCGCTTTGTTGAAGACATTTTAATACATAAATTGGTTTTATCTTCCAAATTTTTCCTATACTAAACATAGGTAGCTCGTAACTCTA